GAGCTACACACACACACACACACACCCCCCTCCTTCTCTCCCCCCCTCCCTGGCAAAGTCAGAGGCGAGAATCCAGAACCAGGCAGTGCCGGACAGCTGCTGCTCTGGCTGGTGCCATGGAGCAGGCAGCCACAACGTTTCCTTGTTTCCTGCTGCTGCAGGGGTTTGAAACTGCTCCTCAGCTCCCAGCCCCATTTGCTCACGCAGCAGGTAAGAGCCGCCTGGGTAGGGGACCCAGCTTCGTGGCTAGCAGAACCCTCGGGAAACAGGGACCGCAGGGGAGCCCTCTGGGCACACAGCTGTGACCCTCCTCCCTGCACCCTGAGCTACACCCCTGCCCACACATACTCCTAACTACCCTCTCCCTGCACCCTGAGTTACTCCCCTGCCTGAACACAGCTACCCCTTTCCCTGAGCAGTTTTTAAACTTTTTGAGCTGAGCCCCTCCCCCTTTGAGTTATCATTTTGGACTGGATGGCCTGCTGAGGTGGGTCACGGAGTGGAGGTGGCGCTCCCTCCCCAGACCCCACCGTGCGGAGCTGGCTCAAGCCCCACTGGCCCCTGCCCACCCAAAACAGAAGAAGTCAAACTACATCTATGCCCCAGGGACCTCCCACCGGCCCAGAGTCCCTCCTCCCCACTGGGCCCTGGAGTTTTTATAGCATGTTGTGGGGGGCCTCAGAAAGAAAAAGGTTGAGAACCCCTGGCGTAGACCTGGCAGGAGAGCCAACAAACAACAAGTACACTGCACGACTTTAGCAACACAGCCATGTCGCTAAAAGCTGTGTAGTGTAGACATAGCCTGAATCAAGAAGGAGCCAAGCCCAGGGACCCTAGTTTAGCCCACTGGCACATTCAAGCACCATATAACCTTATTTTGAATATTTGCACAGCCTATTGCGAGTGGCATCTCATGTTGGCAATTTAAATGGGTAGAGCTTAGTTTCTGAGACGAGACTGGAAGAGTACTGCCACTTTGTGCCCCACAAGCCACTCCCCTCCGCATCTGACCCCTGCTATTCACACAGCGGTATTACTGAAGTAACATCACATTTGCATTAAAAGCAGCTTCTGCTCAAGACAGCTACTGTAAATGATCATACTCTTGGGGAAAAACACATTCAAAATAAGGCTAAATTGATCTTTTTTAAATTGACAAAGTTTGTTCTTTAATTTCTGAAGTCTTTATGATTTTAAAAATAAAAGAAATGTCAATAAATGAACAAAGGGAAGATGCTTTGAGGTACATGCTTTCCATGCAGTTCAAACAACAAAGTGCTATTTGGGGCTTTCACAGATGCTATTGCAGTTCACATTGTGCCCCCTTAATTTAAATATGAAAGGGACTTAGGTTCACATTGTAGTGTGTGACAACATAATGGTAGGTCCTGAAAGAAAGCCACTGGGTTATTTGTTCAGCAAATGATACTCAGACTTCAGCAGAAATGTCCATGGAGCATTTTGAAGATTAACAACAGCTCCTCTGACATCATTCAGTCCAATCTAACAGACCCCAAGATGCTGAAACTAAAGAGCATCTTTTAAAAGTTTAACATAAAATACAGCCTTTATTCCATATAGCATCTTCCATGCAAGATTCAATCCTCTCAAAGATGCTTCAGTTAGCTTACATAGGGAAAAGGGGGAATTACTTCCACTGGGGATGCATTACGCGTTTATAAGCTCTCTCTCTCTCTCTGAGGGGCTTTGCTCTGCCTCTGGGGAGGAGGATGTTGGACTTCTGGGGATGGGGATTTTGTTGTCTCTTCTGCCCGGTGTTCCCTGTTCCCTCCCTGTTGAGACAGGAGAGGGGGCTGGGGTCCTACTCTGCATATTAAACCCTCTTCCCAGCCCGTGGGATGAGGGAGGTCGTGATCTGTATCAGTGTAAGGGTGGCAGTGCCATAGGTCAGAGGACACGAGGTCAATGGGGCAACACCCCCGCGGGAATAGGGTCGGAAAAGGGGGGAGGGAAGGTGTCGGGGACAAGGCCGCCCCCCCGATAAAATCGGAGGAAGGGGGGTCCCGGAAGGAGCTGCCCCCCACCCCGGGGATAGAGTCGGAAAAAGGGGGCCCCCGAGGGAGCGCCCGCTCCGGGATAGGGTCAGAGAAGGGGCCGGAGAAGCGCGCCCCGGGGATACAGTCGAAAGGCGGGGGGACCCCGGCGTGAAGTGGGGCCCGGGCCCGGGCCCGGCGGGAACGCTGATCTCGTTGGCACCAGCCTGCGGGACACGCAGCCCGGGGGAAAGGGTCCGTTACTCACACGGCAGCTCCGCAAGCAGCATCCCCGGCTCCGAGCCTCACGCCGAAGGCTCAGCAGTGTCATAACCGACACCCGATTCAAACCCCAACATCCGCTGGCGTCCCGGAAGCGAGGCGCCAAAGCCCGCCCCAAACCTGGCAATTTGCGCTCGGCTGTTGATCGATGTGATCGGCGTTCGTCTGCTTCCGCTTAGCAGCTGATCACTGTGATGAGCGCTCCTCCTAGGCAGCTTCCGAGGAGCCTGGCGGGGGGCGTGGCGTGGCGTGGCGTGCGGCGTCCCCGGGGGCAGAGCCGGCGCTGGGTGGCGAGACATGACGCACGGAATCCCAATAGAAGCAGGGTGAAATGAGCTGCGGAGCGTCCTGTACCACAGCTTCTCCTTGGATAAGTGCACAGCCCCAACTGGTACTGATGGGAGGGACTGCACTTGTGCAAACTGCAGTGCTCACATTCATCATCAGTAAAGCTAAGTTTTTGTCACGCATATTTTTAGTAAAAGTCACAGGTCACGGGCAATAAAGAAAAATTCACAGAAGCCCGTGACTTATCCCTGACTTTTTTTTACTAAAAATATGCATGACAAAATGGGGAACTGCAGGCTCCCCACACCACCCAGGGGGGCCTGGCTCAGAGATTCAGGGTCCCCCGCCCATGGTGGCTCAGAGCTCCAGGGAACCCCGGACACCCGCGGTGGCTCCCTGCTCCGGGGCACTCCACGGCGGCTCCGTGCTCTGGGCCTCAGGGCCGTCCTTAGGCATACGCAGCTGTGTAGGGCACCAGCCCTGGCGACCAGACCTATCCCTCGGCCAGCCCCCCTGCAAGGGGCAGGGCCATCCCTAAAGGGATATGGGGCCCCAGACAACTTCCTCCGCCCTGCCTCTTACCCTTTGCCCCTGCTCCGCCCCCATTCCACCTCTTCCCCCAGCGACCCTGCACTCACCGGCAGTGCCCGGAAGCGGAGCAACTCGGCCCCAGACCGCTCTACTCCGCCAGCTCCCAGCTGCGGTACTTCGCTTCCTGCTGCCGGTGAGTGCAGGGAAAGGATCGCTCCCCGCACTCACGGGCAGCGGGAAGCGGAGCGACGCGGCTGCAGCCCGCTCCGCTTCCCTTGCCCCGGCCGTAGCCGTGTCGCTCAAGTTGGGGAAAGGACCGCACAAGGCTCTCACCGGCGGCAGGAAGCGGAGCGCCGCAGCTGGGAGATGGAGGAATAGAGCAGGCTGCTCCACTTCCTACCACTGCCGGTGAGTGGGGTATCCCTTCCCCCAAACCCCCTCCCCCGAGTGAGACGGCTGGGGCCGGGTCGAGGGAAGCAGAGCGGGCTGCTCCCAGCTCCCCGTAATCCTCTGGGCCTGTGGGGCCCCCAAAAGTGCCCCCCCCAGCTCCTGCCTCCCAGACACTGGGGGGGAGGCCTGGGGCCCCACACAGCCCCCCTGCAGGAGGGCTGTGTAGGGCACCCAAATGGCTAGATATGGCCCTTTGGGGCTCCCGCGGTAGCTGGAGCTCATGAGGGCCCCGCCATGCATGGTGGCCGGGAGCTTGGGGTCTCCCTACTGCCTAAGAGCTCCGGGGCACCCCTGCTACTCTGCTGCCTGGGAGCTCCAGGGCACCCCTATCTCCCTCCCCAGCTGGGAGCTGCTGGGCACCCCTGCTGCCCTCTGTGACTGGGAGCTCAGCCCTGCAGTTCCCAGGTGACGGGGGAACCCTACAGCTCCCAGGTGCTGGAGGCTCAAGTCATGGAGGTCTCTATCATGCTTGTGCCCCTGCCCAGCAGTTGTTGTGGTCAACACAGTCTGTACATTGGTATACCAGTAGCACAGTGCTTTGGACTGTGCAGAATGTCCATCTTACGTGATGTACATATCTATCAATTGTATGCAGTGTAATTGTAACTGTCAGTCCCAGGATATTAGCAAGACATAGTCGATGAGGTAATATCTCTCTATAGATGAGGTATCTGTTCACATTCTTGTTTTGTTTCAATGAGTGGTTTTGCCCTTCTCAAGGATCTGCATGTGTTGGGCAAGGGATGTGCCCTGTTACATATCCTGACACTGTCGGTCAGGTAGAAAATCATCAGCCTCATCCTGAGTTGTTACCAGCTATACGGGGCTTGGAGATGTTATTGTGCCAAGCATTTTAGCATGAGCTTGAGGAGGAAAGGATATTGAGTCTGTTGTTTCCATTAATTTATTAAATATTTTTAAATTTCAGTTTTGTTTAATTTTCTGTTGATTTTTGCTTTGTTTTGTCGCTGAAAATCTATATGTTTATTAATTAAATAAAAAAGAATATGCAAAATGTATTTTGTAGCTTTGGAAATTCTTAGTAAGGCTGTGCTTCACTTGCCTGGGCTGATGAGCCGCCCCTGGTAATACCACTTCCTTCCTCAGCTATTCCCTGTTTTTATCTTTCTATATGGGTCATATTAGTTTTCTTAATCACAGCATCACACTAGGAGCTGATTCGGTTACCCATTGTGAATCCTAAATTCTTGTCAAGAGTCACTGTTTTCCAGGATACCAGTGCCCCACCCTGTAAATATACATTCTTTGTTCCTAGACTTATGACTTTCATTTGGCTGTGTTAAAATGCATGTTGTTTGACCACAATCCGTTTACCAAGTGATCCAGATCACTCTGTATAACTGACCTGTCCTTATCATTATTTAGTACTTCAATCTTTGTGTCATATTCAAACTTTAGTAGCAATTATTTTATATTTTCTTCAAGATCATTAGTAAGGATATTGATTAGTATTGGACCAAGAATGAATTCCTTGTTGGGTTCCATTAGAAAGAACCACATTTGAGGAGGATTCTTCATTAATAATTAAATTTTGAGATCTATCAGTTAACCTGTTTAAAATCCATTTAAGGCTAAAACAAAGCTCTTATGGCTAGATTTTTAAAGGTATTTAGGGACCTAGCTCCCATTAGGTCTCTGTCTCCCCCCCCTCCCCCCCCCTACCTCCTTTCTTTATCACTGTGGGCAACACCACCACCCTACCAGTCACTCGGCTCTGTTACTTGTGCATTAACTTTGACTCAGACCTCTCTCTAGGTATTCATATCCAGGTTACATCTAAATCTTGCAGACCCTTTCTGCATAATATATCTACGATTCCATGAGATAGGGTGCTCAGAGGGCTGAGCAGCCTAGTGGTTAGTGCGCACAACTTTCATCCTCTTGTCTCTGTAGCAGGTGGTAGAGGTGCCTGTTATTGATCCTCAACTGTGGATCTTCTGCTGTCCACTCACATCTGGGCCTCAGCCCATAAGGGGGTGCATAGAGGGACTCAGGCCCACTCTCTCCACTGCTCCCAGACCAGGGCCCTGGGGGAAGCAGAACCAGCAGGGTCCTCCCTGCAGCAAGTATAAGTCCGTTGCCCTGGGCTACTTCCTACCTATCTGTCCCTTTAATTTGGGGCATGGTCCCTATAGTTCAAACAGTCACTCATTTAACACAAAGAGTCCTATACCAAAGAGCCCTGAAAGACATGCTGGTTCTCAAAGGGGAGGTTAGTGGCAGAAGGCATTGTCTGAGGGCCTTATCCACCCTGTGGTCCCCCCTCAAGCTCAGCCCTTCATCTGACTTCCTGGAAAAAAAATCCTCTCTCCTGCAGCCTGTCCAACCCTCTTTGCCTGGGCTTCTGAGCTCTTTCTAACCCACTTCTGCAGTTGGACCATGCTCGGCAACTCTGGAGGGGTGGGGTTATCTGGGCCCAGTATTGTCTTTTAACCCCTTCGGGCTCAATGTGGGGTTTGTATACCCCATCACCTTAGCATCTCTCAGACCTGTATCCAAACAGCTTGACAGGTGACATAATTAGTTCATTGAGCGGTCAAAACTGCCATTGAAAGGGCAACAGTATCATGGGATTCCAGCGTAAGGAGTAATTGTTCTGTTGCCTCTGCTGTACTAGTGCTGGCTGTGTACAGTGGCACTGCTACAATTGCAGGTTGACACAGTGGAGAATGACAAGTTAGTTACGCTTGTTCAGAGCCAGTGCATTCCCAAAAGTGGTGTGAAGGTCTATACACCATTGGCAGAGACTTGTGTGTGTTTGTAGATGTGCTAGGGGATTGCAGCAGCATTTGCAATATCAAAATTCTATTGAGGTGGCCCATTTCTACTACAAAATGTCAAACTTGTGCAGCTAGAATGGTCATAGTTAATTCTGAGGAAGAAGGTGGTGCTACCTTTGGGTGCTAGTAAGTAGGACCCAGAGGGAAATAAAAGCCCCAACAAGACAGGTTAGGATCCCAACCTAAGGCTTGATAGACATTGCAATGAGCCCCATGAAGAGTTGTCAGCAGAGGCTGAAATTAGATCTTTCAGCACCAAAAGCACAGGTGTCTACTCCTTGAGCTAAAAGAGAAGGGGTCAAATTCTCTGCTTTTGTAAATTGAAATCTGTGGAACTACATCAGTTTACAGTAGCAGAGAATTTTACCCTGACTCTTAGCTGGTAGCATTAGTACGATCTTATCCACTGTATAAACAAGCTACTACCGGGGAACATGACACAGTGTGTTCCACTTATTTAAAGCAGAGCCTTGGTAGTTTTGTGAGATAAATTCAGACAATTTCACCTTTGGTTATACACCTCTACCCTGATATAACGTGACCCGATATAACACGTATTCGGATATAACATGGTAAAGCAGCGCTATGGGGGGGCAGGGCTGTGTGCTCCGGTGGATCAAAGCAAGTTTGATATAACGTAGTTTCATCTATAACACGGTAAGATTTTTTGGCTCCTGAGGACAGCGTTATATAGAGGTGTATTTATATTAAAAATTGTGACTAATAATAATCTCCTCTCTACACACTATGCATGGCCTGCTGCAAAAAAACTCCAAACCGTATACCATACTGCTTTACATTGGCTCAAACTAGGTTTTTCTGGACTCATAATAGTAGTGTATTACATCCACTTTGCACTGGTGCAAATGACTACAAGGCAGGGCAATAGTGAATCAGGCCTGTAGTCTTGATTTAACCTTTAAGAGGAAAGGTAGAAAGTTAGGTCAGCGCACCCTTCCATCATATTTACCACTAATTTTCAGTTTCTAACTTTCTACACAACCCTTTGAAAAATATCTGCTTGCTGATTATCACAATACATAACTTTTTCTAATTCTCTTCCATTATCTCTTACATCTTTGTTCGAGTTTTTTGATCTAAAATTTCTCCTGACTATGCTGGGTGACTTCTAAATTCAAACACACCACCTCTTGGCAGTGGGAATTTCCTCACAAAATAGCAATTTCA